CAAAGTTGTGCGATTTGGCGTGGAATGGCCCATATATATAACTTATTTATGTGCTCATTTATTTATTAATTAAATATTCAAACATGGTCATTTGCAGTTAGATTCTTTAAACATTTAACATCAAATTTCTTCAGTGTATATTTGTCACACATGGATGGAATACGACATGCGATCCAGATGAATGGTTGTCGTTTAAGATTCAGCCTTGTTTATGAACAGAAATTTATAGGATGTATAGTTGTTTGGGCGTAGTAAAGTGCTATTGCACAAGATGTAGAAAGGACAGCATTGAGTGCGTGGCGCTACGGAGTGCAATATTACCAATGGTGGAGAAAGGCCGATGTGTATAATTCCAGTTTTTGAGACTAGTGGCTTGGTTGAGTAAATGTTAAAGTTTTGGGTCTTGAGCAGAATTTCTCTCATCGATGCTTTTTGTGCATATTTAAATGTAAAGCCCCTCTGAAGAGACAGTGCTGGTGTCACCATGTTTTTTTAATGACTTCATTTTTTACAACAGATTGATTTAGCCAGTTTTCTCTTTACCAAGTTTCTTTTTTTTTTTTTTTCTACAGGTCAGCCCTAGTGGTTCCTTATCATAAATGAACATGTTTTGGTTTATGCTGTGCATACGTGAAAGTAGAATTTTTTTTTTGTTCTTACGCTTTCATCTTCACTTTTTTTGCTATTTATCTTTTTTTTTAGATCATGGGGCCACCTGAATTTCATTATTGGTAGAAGAGTTTAGCATTTATTTATGAGAGAAGCAATATCATATATGGACTCATTCACAATTACACAAACGAGTAAATAAATATGTATAGTCTATATACACAAAAATAAGTGAGGAAAAAAGTGATGTATTCATTAAAATAAACGTAGGTAATTTGTGTTTTATTGTAGGTTACAGGTATTAGTGCCATATAAACATTTTTCTTTTACTTCTTGAGCACTGCTTTTATGTGTGTGTGGAAAAGAAAGAAATTTATATATATATTTATATATACATATATATAAATGTAAATTCGTGTTTGGTGTAGTGTACCTGACTCAGAAAATTGTTTACACTACAGAACATTGTGAAATATCAACGATTGTGTAGCCGCTTATTGCTTTGTTGAGAAACTGGGAGTGCTGAGGATGGAGAAGAGCCATCACTGAAATTTATATAGTGTCATAGGTTTGTTGGATAAAAAATGAAGTGTTAAAAATGATAAGAGCTTCTGATAAGCAATTAGTTTGGAGGAATGGGAAACAGGATGGGTTGCAGTGTACGGACGAAAGACGGGGAAAGTGTTTTAAACTTACCATTTAATAGGATGATTATGAATAAAAAGTTATTTCGTCCTTGTTACTATTGGAGTTCTTAAATGAATTTACTTTTTTGGTATTTAGACGTCTGTTAGAATTTTTTTCACTGCTATTGCTGCTGCTGCTGCCGCCATTAAGTGTTCTCTACAGGTGCGTTCTTGTTTTTGTTGCCTTTTTTTTTTTTTTGTTAGTAGTGTATCGGTCTGATGAATTAGTAGGGAGTGAGAGACCTAGTTAGTTAGTTAGTTAGTTATTGATCAGTAGTTTTCCGCCTTTCAGACGTTTCGTCGCATATGTCGAAACCGTTGTTGTTTTTTTAGGAGAATTAATCGAAAGAGAACTTTAAGAGATGAAAGGTGGTTGGTGAAACAGAAAATAAACGTATATATTTATGCGGAAAGATTTATGATGTTTATTCTTCTATTTGCCACATAATTTTGTGAAATTTTAGAGCCTTCAAAGCAATTGACTGTCATCAGGCAAAAGTTTGTTTATTTTTTTGTTTTTTCTTTCTTTTTTGCTTTTTTCTTTTCCTTATTGTTTTCATTGCTTCGAGATAAAAGGTAGTACTGGTTAGGGTGGACCTAAAAAAATTCCTTCAGACCGTATTTCTTCTACTTCTTTTTTCTGTTCGAAAAGTAAAGTTTTCATGTGTTCTTATGGAAGTCAATATTTCTGTAATGATTGTTTCGTTTTGATATCTTTTAGACGGTGAGGTTGTTTTGAAGCTCACAGGTTTTGTGGCATAATCTTTTGTGGCGTAAACGTTTTATTTGTATTTGTGTTAATATGCGTTAGGTGATAGCTGGTGATAATTGCTTATTTTATTCATCTTTCCGTCACCAGTCGCACTTCTAATGTGCCATTCTTTTCATTAAAACCAGCGAAGGTTATGGGTGATTTCTAACTCTTTCTGTTCCTCGCTTACGTTTACGTATGCGTTGTATAGTTTTCTTTATTCTTTCCCTTTTTAACTTGAACGCGGAAACTGGAGAAAAAAAAATTTCTTTCTGCTTTTGCTTCTCAAGAAAAGTAGTTTGGTTTACATGTCATATTTATATGTTATTGTTTATTTAAAAGTTTCGTTATGGCTGTTCGTATGATTTGTATGGCAAATATTTCCTTGAATTTCCCCGTTTTTTTTTTTTTAATTTCTACCCGTGGGTCAATTTTATATGTTACATATCTTCGAAGGTGATCCAGTTCATCCACTGTTATTGATTGTCTTGTTGTGTTGTTTCTAACTTTTGAAGTTGGCTGCATTTACCGGTTTTGGTTTCGTATGACTGTTGAAAGTAGTGAGTTTGGTGGTTATTATTACTACTTTTATTGCTGTTATTATCCTCTCTGTTGTTGTTTGTCGGTAATTGCAGTAGCTTTTTTTTTTCAGTAAAGCAAGGTTTGAGCAGTGTTTCCATCGGACGGTGGCAATAGGAGGAGTTCTGCATTGGTTAGTTTGAGATTTGCTTTTCTTTCTGCAAACTTTGAAAATCGTTTTTCTCTATATAAACTTTTGGCAATTTTTAACCAAGGATTTAGTTGACTTTTCTTTTTTCTCACCTTTTTTTGATTGTGAAGCTTCTAAAACCTTCGAAAAAACGGTGTGATCATGTGTACGGTGTCCGTTGAAGAAGATTGTGATGCTGCTAAGTAGGATCAAACCTTTCGTTTTGTGATAAAACTGTGAACCATTTGCGAAAGTTTTATACTAGGGAAGATGTTAAATGGTTTTTGTTATTGTGAAGGTAACATTTATTGTTACCCATGTTCGCCTGCTTTTACTTTTGAAAGATATGCAGCAGATTTGTCACATTTTGCTATGTTGTTGCCTTAAAGATTATAGGAGAGGCTAGCTGGATAATTTCTCGTTGTTTATTTCAATCAAAAATAAATGTTTCTTTATGGATATTATGCTTTCGAGTTGCCAATAACAAGATTCGAATATCGATGCTTTGTAAAATGATCTTTTTAAACTTATTTTCCGGAGGTTCGAATGTTTTTGCAATAACTTGGTCTGAGAAGCGTTTATG